TCACGAAGTGAGCCAGGCTCACGACAACGCAAGTGAGCCGCAACACCATCAGTGAGCCACCACACAGATAGACCTATGGGGCTCGACAAGAGCATCCGGAGACAGATATCTCGCAGAGGGCGAGCAGGTATAAAGGGACTACGGGAGAACTCAGATTGTCAGATAGTTCGACAGTAGTCAATTGATCATTATCACCGAGACTAGTATCAATACAAGCATACTTGTTGTGAACTCTTTAGCTTCACCGAACGTCTTCTGGTAGTGTTTACCTTCAGCTATCCCACTTAGGCAGATCAGACTGCCGTTCGTCACACTCAGCCTCCATAGAGCGTACTAGAATATAGAAGTTTTGCCACTGTATTCTGAAATTCTCTAACTTGTTTACTATTCCTTCTAGACTAATTTGTTATCATGGAATGTACTAGAAGCTTATAGATTCAGTTTATTCCTTTTATAGTATAGTGCTTCTACAAGCACACTTATCAACTTATAGAAGCTCTTACACTCTGAAATATTCTAGATATTTAACGTTTGTGTATATAAAGACCTCTGCTCTCCTTTAGTTAGTCACTTATTAAGCAAGTAAGTACAATTAAAGCAATACAATACAGTCTACTCCTATAATGCAGAGTTCATCATAATAGTTGTTTCTCACAGTGCAGAGTTCACTGTGCTCTTCTATCTTGAGAGCAGAGTTCTCTCTAAGACCTCTTTTACAACATCTCTTTATTGTCTTTGCTACTACGCTGCTTCCTTCAGCACTGCTGTCGTACTTTCTACCGCTTCCGCTCCGCTCTGCTACAAGTGCATAGTTCACTGTAGCATTTATACTAGTACTATTATTATAGGCTAGTTAGAGCATTGCAGCAAACAAATACTAATATAAATACGAATACTAATATTAATACTAATACCTGTTACGGTACTGGTGGATGGGTCTTAGCACGAGATATTGTGCCGCGTGCACAAGCTACCACCTGCCCGAGGTTAAAACCCTAGGCGCCAGGCGCGCCTTCGCATATTTTCCTCCTTTCTTCTTGTGATTTTACTGTAGACCTGTGTTACGAACTTATGAGGACACACGGGCCAACCACAAGGCTGGTAGCACAGACAGCCCAATAAGGCTAGACCGCGTAACGCTAGGACAGGGAAGAGCTCACAGCTCACGGCTCCCGGAGTGAGCCAGACACACCATCATGGGAGTGAGCCCGCAAAACCCAGCACCAAACACTAAGGGTTCACGGTTGCATGAACATCCGGAAAGAGATATCTCGCAGAGGGCGAGCAGATATAAAGGGACGACTGGAGAACTCAGATTGTCAGATAGTTCGACAGTAGTCAACAGACATTCAGACCATTGTCACCATTGAGACCAGTACGCAGGCATACTTGTTGTGAACCCTTTGGCTTCACGGAACAACTCTGATAGTTACTACCTTCAGCTATCTCATTTAGGGAGATCAGACTGCCGTTCGTCACAACCTGGAATAACATGTTCAGCTTTGTCTCTCGTGACCACGTCGCTCGTGACAATACTAATACTAATACTGTTTGCTACAATGCCCTAACTGGCCTATAATAATAGCACTAGTATAGAGATGCTACAGTAAACTATGCACTTGTAGCAGAGCGGAGCGGAAGCAGTAGGAAGTACGACAGCAGTGCTGAAGAAAGCAGCGTAGTAGCAACAGCGCCTTACTGGGCTCTTAAACAAGCAATAGTTTCTGTCACAGGTTGGCATTGGCTATATAGTGTGCATTCCAAGTTCTGCCTTGCAAGCAGAACATCGTCCTATCTTTTGTAGGTTTGGCCGTCTGGGCATATGCACCTCAGCCTGTCATAGTTTCTACAATCAATCAGTGCCTTTTGGCTACTACGACCGCTGTTCTATCTTTATCCCAGCGATATACTCCTGTGCTTGTAACGGTTCGTCACACTAGAGTAGGCGACGACGTGGTACTGTGGGTACCCAGCCGGTCTCGAGGTCTTCTTCTTCACTATTCCTTTCTAGAAGGGTCATGCTGAGGGCCTCCGCCTTGGCTTCTGGCTCGATAACGGTCTGCCCATTGATGGCTAGTGGAGGGGCCTCCATTCGGTCGCGGGGCTTGTGCCACGCCACGATCTGAAAGATGTCCCTGTCATTTTGTGCCTTTGTGATAAGGTCGTCAAAAACAGCTGCTGTGCTTCTCTGACTACCCTCTTAAACTCTTGTCGGAGAGCTTCTATCCATTGGGGGATGGGATTTGGGTTGTTGTGCCGATAGTTGCGGAACATTTTAGAGGCCTGCGCACACGTTCTATTCCACCACTTTGCGTTCTTTTCGGGTTTCGAGGGCCTGTGAGTGATTATGGAGGGCCTCTATAAGGACATTACAGAGGGCCTCGGCAAGCTCGTCGAGCATTTCCTAGGAATCCTCGCCTGTAGGGAGGAGCAGGACCAAACCCATGAGAAACGAGGCGCCAAGACTTTTTGTTGTAGGAGGAAGATGAATTTCCGTTGGAGGAGGAAGATGTGGAATTGAGGAAGATGATTAATTTCGTTAGACGGGGGCGAGGAGCGGGGGAGCAGACAAGTTCCGAGGAGTCAATGATGTTGAATGATCAAATTTCCAAAGAGGAATGTATAAATGATAATGAGAAGTCATACGCAAAATCGCGATTGACGCAAGAGACAGGCCGCATGATAATCAAGAGCATGGGCACGATACATGTACGACCTCCGTCGAAATATCCACATTCACAACACCCACCAGCCTTTGACATGGCCTCCCATCGGTTATTCACCTTAAGCATCCAACGGCTTTTGCGCCCTCACTATGCGCCACCTACCGTTAGAATGAATCTTGGCTTCCCTGAACTCTCGGCGAATAGTAGCAGCGTAGTTCGTGATATCCTTTGAAGTCCATCCAAGGTAGTTGGACATGAAGTAGACAAGGAAACCCTCAACATCATGTGTCATCGCCACAGAGTTGTAGATACCCAGCTGCTTCATCTTCTCGTCATCGGACCAGGACGAGGCGGGAACCTAGAACTCGGGGTCAGTTTCAGTTCGTCTCAAGGGCTCACGGAGAAGGAAAGTCTGACATAGTAATCCTCGGACGTAATGTTGGTAAACCCAGCGTTCTTCAATCCCTTTTCCATCGTGTTTGAAGAAACCACGTTGAATTCGAGCCCGGTCTTCCTCCCAACCTCTTTCCAAATTGGACCCCACTGGGCCATGGCGGACTTTTCAGGCATCGTTCCATCAAAGCAATAGAATTGAGCATCGACGTCAAGGTGTTCAATCCAAGCACCGGGCTTTGCACACCGATACGCCTCCTTATATAGGGCATTCCAATCCTGGATGACGCCGGTAAGCCAGCGAAGATGAATAAAGTCGAAGTAGTTCTCTTGATAGGTCCACTGCTTAGTTGCGTCATTGATCTCGAAGCAGGCGTTTGGAGGTAACCAGGTAGGTTGAATAGGGGAAATGTCGGTGCCAACTACGTTGCAATTGGGATGATCGTCCGCAAAATCACTGCATATGAAAATGAGATATTAGCAATTGAAGATTGACGCCGAAATATTACATATCGATTCTTACATAGCCCAGACTCCTACACGTAAAGGTCAGTAAAATTGAACAAAAGGGAGAGATGCCGGTCCAGGTTGATTGGCTTACCAGTGCCGGTACCGATATCAATAGCATTCTTAATCTCCTTCTCATTGAGAGGTGACGTATACAGCTTTCCATCGAACAACATGACCAAAGTTGCGTGCATGATATCCAACAACTCATTTGCCTTGGCATCATTAGGGCCCCTGAGTGGTGCACATGGACCAGGAGTTAGTTCAGCTCCACAACATCAACGGGTACAGCATTCGTCTTGCTCATGCTTTCCAATTTAGACGTACCAATACTCCGTGTCAGTCACAGAATCGCTGTGGTAGGTTCGTCCCAAGACACTACGGTAGTGCAAAATGCTGGAAGAGATCGAGGCGGTCGAACTTTCGGTGTCACTTCCCAGGGTCGAGTCATTGTCCTCATCCATCTCCTGTACCTGTAAAAGACTTTTTTGTTAGTATCCGCCATTCTCAAAATGATGGATGAAAACTCTGTGATCATGGATGTCTTGTTCGATACTGCTCAATCTAGCTCACGAAGAGTGTCGTCGGACAAAGTGAGAGACAACAGTCGTTATGTATGGCAGTGGGCCTGCGTCTGTCGGATGCAGATGCCACCAATATCACTACTGCCTAACAAACGCCTCGTGAAACCGAAAGAGGATGTATAGACGAAACGAACCTGCTGGCCCCAATGGGCACCGGGCAAAAGGCCAACAGGCTCCAAAGACTCATCGCCCACTGGAGATGTGGGAGCAGGCGTGGGCGACTTCTCCTTTCCCTTTGGAGACTTTGGCTCAGATGCTGGTGACTGTGCCTTTTTGAAAGGGGAACTCATCGTCAAGGATGAATATTGAAAGGGTGGAAAGATTGGTCGGTGAACTGCAGAGGTTGGCTAAAGTCGATGTTTGGTGTTTTCGCGTGCCAGCGGCCCAATTTATAGGAGTTCTCGTCACCTACCTAGTTACCCCTCCTCGAAAAAAAAAGTCTTCCGAGGCTGCCATTGCATAAAGCGGTCAATAATAGTGAAGATAACCTCCTTTCGTTCGAACTGTGTGCTTCGGTCACCTCTGAGGTCACATTCGTGCTTGCTTTGCTAGAGTCCTTTCGGTACATCAGGGACTAACAGCAAGCACGCAGCCATGCGGTTACAGCCCAGATTCAGTGTTAGTTGGCACGTAATTTCATGTATCGTGACGGTAGCATTTTGCTGAATCAAGGATTCCATTGGCTGCAATCCATACCAGCTCCCAAGGTGGTGGAGAAACACAGTGAGTGAGCGAGTGGGCAAACGTTGCAGTACGCACCAGCTCCCACAGGAGGCTGGAGAATACTTTGCTTGGTATTCTTGCTCAGAGCCAGGCTAGCTAGATCGAGAAGACTAGGCGTAACCATAAAAGATGTTGCAAGTAGTACGGCTGCAACCACGTCCAAGAATCACATTATCTTCTGTTATCTGGCGACCCACGGCACCGACCTTCACTCCTCCGCAGTAGTTGTTACCATGCTACCAGCCACTCACGGTATACGCAGCAATGAAGATAAACATATATCTCATTCAACAACATTCTGCGTTCGACCGGGCACTCCATGTTTTCTAACCCAACCAAATTCAGTGAGTCATCCCAACGAGCAATGAATGATGATAAACGGTAGTGCTGGTCTGTGTGACGAACCATTACCAGCACAGGAGTATATCGCTGGGATAAGGATAGAACAACGGTCGTAGTAGCCAAAAGGTACTGATTGGTTTTAGAAACTATTGCTTGCTGAAGAGTCCGGTATAGAAGAAGGCCGGGAGGCCTTATATACGTGCTTTCAGAGGACCCGAGATATCGGACCCGGGGACCCGATCCCTTCGGGACTTCGGGACCTCCTTCATTGGTCCGTTGGTCCTAACTAGTCTAGCTTACATAGGCGATCTCTGATTGGATCGTAACACGATGCCC